TTTTTTTGGTTATGATACCAGATAAATTAGATATAAAACTTTAGACTCACAAATAGAGTATAGAAAAAATATTTTCTTTAATTTTGCCAAATACAAATAGGCTAAATATGTAACTATAATTCTTTCTTAATAACTGTTTTTTATATATAATCTTACTGTGTTGAAGTTAAAACCTTCCTTTTAAATAGAAAGAAAAGAGGAAATGATTGGAATGTCATTCTGTATGCTGTGAATGTGTGCTGCTCTTGTTTGGTTGATAAATAAAAGGCTGATTGGCCAGTAGTCAGGCAGGAGTTATAGGCAGGATAAGCAGAGAGGAGAATTCTGGGAAGAGGAAGGTTGAGCCAGCAGACAACACCCAGCCATCCAGGGAGCAGCATGTAATGGTGCAAGGTAAAGCCACAGAACATGTGGTGACATATACATAAACAGAAATAAGCTGAGTTTAAATGTAGGAGCTAGTCAGTGGTAGGCCTGATCTAATGGCTGAGTAGTTTTAATTAATATAAGCTTCTGAGCTTTTAGTCTATAAGTGGCTGTGGGGTCTGTGGGACTGGGCAGGACCAGAGGAAACTTCAGCTACATGCAGTTCCACTGGCAGGCAGGTCATTCATCCATTTTTACAGTACAATTTTTAACAGTGCTTATGAACTCATTTTCCTTAGAGTTTCTCACTTTTAACTGCATGATTTTAGCTCTGGTATTAGTTGGATATAGATTTCAAGTTGATTTATGTTTCTGAAAGACTGGCATCAATATTAAATATCCATTACAGTCTGATAATTTGATGTTAATTTAGTTTTCTGTCATTAAAATGATGGCTTTAAAATACATACTGTTTGTATGATGCATATTTTACTCATTTAGTTTCAGTGTGTATATTTATATCCAGAACACTCTTGCATGCAGCCTAGAGAGTTAAATTGTTCTATAAATTCTGACTTTCTCAAAATTTTTGACATATATATGTGTATGTATGTATTTAATATATTCTACTTACATCACTTCTCTATTTCCCTCTCCCCCTCCACCCTCTCATATGCACCTGTTCTCTCTGAATTCATATATTTTTAAGAGCTATAATTGATACATACACACATATAATAAATAAATTATAGCTACAACCTGTTATGCCCATTTAGCATTTCCTATATGTATGTTTTAGAGATGGCTATGTAGTAGAGGTCTCATTCATGGAGGAGACTGATACTACTCCATCTCTCAGCAATCTTTGATTACCTGTAGCTGTCATCTAGGGGTGGGACTTAGTGAGATTTTCTCCCACCTACATTAGTATTGTGTATATCTCATTTAGGTGACCCTATTGTTGAGATTTAATTTCATATATAAAGGAAACTATTTCATACAGATATTCTGGTCCTGTGGCTCCTACAATATTTCTACCTCCCCTTCCATTAAGTTCCCTGAGCCTTAGAGGTAGGGGTTGTAATATAGATGTTTCAATTGGGACAGGGCAGCCCATAGTAAGTTTCTATGCATTCTATGAGAGGCAAATCCAAGGTGTTTTTGATAAGGGATGAGAGCTACATGTGTTTCTGAGTATAAGCACAAATATTAAGAATGCAGTTAGGAGTTATAGTGATTTGGGAAAGAAACTGTAGAAGAACCTCCTCTATGCTCCATGGCCTCACCACTGATGACTATGGCTAGATTTATAGTACTAGACAAAAACTGTCTCCACACTGAGTGGGTTTGAAGTCCAATTAGACAGTTGATGGCTACTGCTAAGATCTAAGTGCCACCATAGCATACCAGGGCTATTTTACTCTTCCAGTCATTGTTTTGGTTCACAGGCAACTCATTTGGATGTAACTACTAATTACCTTTATCTTGTGACACCTTGAATCACTCTTTCTGATATAATGAGACACAATTCTCAAGGAGGAGGCTTCCCAGTCAGATGCAACCCTACAGATTACTCCAAGTCCTGATTCTGAAGTGTGTGGTATCTTTAGTAATGGGGACTTACATTCAACTTCCAGGAAAAAACAAAGGTCAATGGAAATACCTTATATTGCTTTGAAAGTTGCTTATATTTCTCTGACCAACAACTAGAAATAGAGTTCTTTAGTAGGACAGGTCCATAGGGTTGAGGAAATTGGCTCAGACCAGTTGCCAAGGCATGCACATAATGTACACCTTAATGAGCCAACCTTGAGTCTGCCTGAGAACCTAGCAACAGGAGCTTTCAGAGTTTCTGATCAACGTCAGAATTTCTGATTATGTCCAGCCAATGAGAGACAACGACACAGACAGGGTGCTAGGAAGAGGTTATATAAGGCCTTCTCTGTTATTGAATAAATGAGTTCATTATTTGCCTTCACAACGACTCCTGGCGTCTGTGCCATTGATGCCATAAGTTCTTACCCTCTGCCCTGAGGGAACCTTTAGAATCCAAGCAACAGGATTCCTCATGCTTGGTACAAGAGTTCTGTCAATCTACGTTTCTTGGGGGAGCATACGTTTTGATTGTGCCCCTCCCAGTCAATGGCAGCAGTTACTGGAGGTCATAACACATCTCTCTCCAATTGCTAACAGCAGCCTCTTCTGTGTACATGAGGATACATGCATCCTTTCACTTCAGGGAACATGAACATACACACATACTTGCACTTCTGTGCACATGAGCACACAAGCATGCTGGCACAGCTATTTTCACGTGAAGAAGAAACAGATCATGTGAATACACAGAAGAGTGTTTTTATTGTGAGCACTGTCTGATAACAACAGGGCATACTCAAACCCGATGGTGTTTCTAGTACAGTCTCCCATAAGTCTTCTAGGCAAGTCATGTTATTTAACACTCTTAGAAGCAATTTATCATTGCATCCCCATAATCATGATCATCTTTGGGTGATTTTAACACACATAATCTTTCATATTAGGATATGTTTTTTTCTCTCTCTCCTTACTAGGTAGACCAAAAATATGCTACACATGGAGATATGATATAAAGTTTATAAGAAAGAAATGGATGATATAAAAAATCATAATATGAAGTTTTCACAACTAATATATTTTATACAGTAAGCACACAGATTTTCCAGGTGAATATCTAATTTGAGCAGGAAAAAAATCCTAGTGCAAAAATGAGATTAGAGATTAATATTGAAAGATAAATTCTTTATGGATAGAGCAGGGGTTCTGGCTACTACAGGTGGATATAAATACAGGAATGTCAATGACTTTGTAATAGGTATTGTTAGTATGGCAGTAGTGGATATTCATGTCAAGCTTAGCTGATTCTTTCACTTATCTAATGTAGTAGTACAGGATCACTATGCTTTATAGGTAAGTAATGTGATAAAGTTTCTGTTTGATAAAACTTTCTCTAAAAATTTAGACAGAAGATTAAAAATTGCATAGATATTGTGCTTGGCATTAGCCAGGCATGGACGTATATCCTCATAGGGTGTTTCCCATGATTGATTGACTGAGGGAGAGAAGACTAGGACCTGGTTTACTGATGAAAAAAATCTAAACCAAAACAAAACAAAAAAATCACATGGAGGCTTATTCTTTCTTATGAATGGTCAGCCTCAGCTTAGCTTATTTCTAGCCATTTTTTTTAACTTAAATTGTCACCTGTGCCTTTTGCCTTTGGGCTTTTATCTTTTTTCCATTTCTGTATTTCCTGCTCTGTTGCAAGTTGTGTAGCTGGGTGGCTGGCCCCTGAAATCCTCCTCTTCTCCTCCTTTTTTTTAATCCCTCAATCCTCTCTTCCCAGATTTCTCCGATTTATTCTCTGAGCCTGTCAGACTGTCTTTTCTTCTTCCTTGCTGTTTGCCATTCAGCTCTTTATTAGACCATCAGGTTTTTTAGACAGGCAAAGTAACACAGCTTCCCAGAGTTAAACAAATGCAACATAAAAGAATGCAGCACATCTTTGTATCTTTAAACAAATGTTCCACAGTATAAACAGATGTAACACATCTTAAAATAATATTCCACTCTGGGCAGTGGTGGTACATGCCTTTAATCCCAGCACTCAGGGGGCAGAGCCAGGCAGATCTCTGTGGGTTTGAGGCCAGCCTCGAGATCCAGGACAGGCACCAAAACTACACAGAGAAAACCTGTCTCAAAAAAAAAAAAAACCAAAAAAAAAAAAAAAAAACAATAATAATAATAGTATTCCAGAACACTTCCTTTAACATTTACTATGTTAAAGTTTTAACTTTAACGTAGTAAACCATATACAACAAAAGAGTTATCAAGTAAGAATTACATTTACATTATTCAGTCTATTTGCATTTAGCACATTCAGAGAAAATAGTCCCCTCTCTATCCCATGCTACTGACTCCAAAGCTTTATAACTAATTTACTTTCTATCATAACTAAGGAACTGCAATTATAGCTTTCTAGTCTTCAACTCCATCAAAGACCGCAGACGGATGAAATAATACCTGAGTAAACAGGAAGTGTTTTGCAATGAACTCCAGAAACTCTAGAAATGACAGAGACGTCTAACTGCCTGGACAGTCACCCATAGTTCTTCTTCAATGTTGGGCATCCATCTTTAATCTACAGGCCTACAGTATCTGGCAGACTTTTCAGTGAAGCAGGAAATTTGAAGAACTGTTCGGCCTTATATTGGCAAAATTTGTCAGTTGCTTTCTTCTGTGTCTTGAAGAATATCTGGCATACTCATATGTGAAACAGGAACCCTGAAAAACTGTACTATCTTATTTTGGCAAAGTTCAGCAGTTACTTTCCTGTGGGTCCTGAATGTCCAGTTTGTAAAATATACTGTCAAGCAGTCAAGGCAAAAGCAGTTTCTTGCCCAATCCCTAATTTTTCCAAAAAACTCCTATGGAGTTTTGCTGGGGGATGTCTTTCTGTATGCTGAATATATGTTGTTCCCATTGGTTAATAAATAAGCTGATTTGTCCTATGGCAAGACAGCCTAGAGGCAGGTGGGAAATCCAGAGAGACAGGAAGAAGAAAGGAAAGTGGGGTAGATGGTGCAGGCAACTGCCAGGAGAAACAGGATTTAAATGTACTGAATGCAGTGAACTATGGTGATGTGCATGTCAGCTTCACCTTGGAAGAGTGGATTTTGCTGGATTCTTCCCAGAAGAATCTCTATAAAGATGTGATGCTAGAGACCTACAGGAACCTCACTACCATAGGATACAGTTGGGAAGACCATAATATTGAAGAACATTTTCAGAGTTCTAGAAGACGTGAAAGGAAAAATGTAACTGCAAAGATGCTGCAGCATGTGGATTGAGCTGCAGAATTGCAAGTTTGAGGCATGCAGGCTCGGTGTCTCCAAGCAATGCAGTGTACTGCATGGCACATTTAGCTTTCACTCATACAGAAAAAAAAAAGAGTTTGTGAGCCAGCTGCATGCTAACTGAAGGCAGCATGGACCCCAGAATTGACAAGATAAGTGTGACTCTCCTGGGCAGCTCCACCATGCTGGGAAGTTGAAATGGATGAAGTTAGCAGCCAGAGCTGCTGCTTCAATCCTAGTCAACCTGCATTTGAAAGCAATGATCAGAAAAGGATTACAGCCTCACAATAAGACAGATTCAGATGGAATAGACCTCTAAATTGTTTACAGTGTGTATAAAAATATACATAGGCTTGGAAGAAAAAAATAAATATAGACAGTTATATAAAGAAATAGATAGTTTTAAAAAATAAAGTTTTTAAAGAGAAAGTAAAAATAATATAAAAGTTAATCCATGTAAAGATGAAAATTACACAAAAATCTTGATATTGTATATTATTACATTGTCTCTGGGAATTTTTTTGTTTGTCTGTTTTTTGGTTTTTGAGACAAGGTTGCTCTGTGTAGTTTTGGTGCCTGTCCTGGATCTTGCTCTGTAGACCAGGCTAGCCTTGAACTCACAGAGATCTACCTGGCTCTGTCTTCCAAGTGCTGGATTTAAAGGTATGTACCACTGCCGCCCAGGCAGCCTCTGGGATTTTTAACTGGATAGAGATATTTGATTAGAAAGGTTGCTGAGTTAAACCAATATGTATATTTTAAACGTGTCTTGACTTCAAAATTTGTGTCTAAGGATGTGTTGCTTTGGAAAAAAAGGTTCTGCTTTTGTTTCCACAGAAGATGAGAAGTTGTGGATTCCTTCCAGGTTAATATGGTTCCATTATGGAAGACCTGCTGAGAGGTCTTTAGATGACCCAACACCTAGAACAGCTTCAAGGCAACTAGCTGAGATGATGCAGTCTCACAGAATACTCCAGTTAGGGCAGATTAACAGTGTCCCCAATCAGCAGGAAGTAGTCTAGAACACTATACCCACATTCCCAAAAAATGGATTATGGATGTTTGTCTTTGTTTAGGTTGTTGGTTACAAATTGTGATTGGTCATAGTCAATCTCTTTCCAAAAGAAGAAAAGGGGATATTATAGATATGATAGGATGAAAGGGTAGATCACTGAATTTACTTTTAAAGAGCAACAACTTTTTAAAAATGTTTTACATTGCTATGGATTTTGGTTTATTGATACAGATTTGAAGTTGATTTTGTTATACTGTATATATATTTCTACTCTTGTTTAAGGTATTATGGTTATGCAATCCATTTAAAATTGTAATATATAATTAAGAAATACAGATTAATAGTCACCTAGGATAATCAAACTTATAGTCATGTTAATTAAGTTTTCTATGTATACATAAATATATTTCAATTAGGTAGGTAATCTTCAAACACTTCAAAGACTTACAGAATATGTCATTTAAAATATTTTAAAAACTTACATGTTCCTGGACAGTGAGACACATCTTCTTCATTGACTTCAAAGAGGACTATGGGCACCAAAGACACTCCATATGGACTTTATCTTCTTCTTGGCAGAACTGACCATTTGTTCTTGCCTGGAGTGCTTGAAAAAATGTTGCATAGACAGGAAATGCGAGACCTATGGAAAAATGACCACTAAATTTTGCCAGAACAAAGAAAGATGATCCTTCAGATTCCTGCTTCTCAGAGGAGACTGCCAAACATTTTACAGGACACAGGGAGAAGCAGTTAAAAAACTCTAGGTCTATAGGCTGAAGACAGATTCCCCAAGATTGCAGAGGAACTTTGGGTGACTGTCCAGGCAGCCAGCTGTATCTGTCATTCTAGATTTTTGGAAGTTTCTCACACACATTTCCTGTTTATTTAGGTAATATTATATTCTTCTGGGGTCTTTGTTGTGGTTGAAGACTAAATAGTTACAGTTAGAATTCTCCTTGGTTATGATAAAAGAAAAATTGATATGAAATTTTAGACTCACAAATATAGGATATATAATACATTTTTTTTAATTTTCACATATACAAATAGACTAAATATTGTAACTATAATTCTTGCTTTATAACTGTTTGTTATATATAATTTTACTATATTAAAGCTAAAACCTTACCTTTTGATTAGATAGAAAAGAGGAAATGCTGGGGTATGTCTTTCTGTATGCTGAATATATATTGGTTAATAAATAAGCTGATTTAGTCTATGGAAAGGCAGCTTGGAGGCAGGTGGGAAATCCTAGAGAGACAGGAAGGAGAAAGGCAGAGCCTGTGGAGAAGCTGGGAGCTATCATCAGGAGAAGCAAGATGTAAAAGTATCAGTAAGCCATGAAGCCACGAAGCCACATGGCAATGCATAGATTAATAGAAATGGGTTAATTTAAGATATAAGAGTTAGCTAGCAAAAGGCTTGCTATAGACCATACAATTGGTAATTAATATTAAATCTATAAATGATTATATTATAAGTGGCTATGGAATCATGGGGCTAGGTGGGACTGTGGAGCAGGCAGGACCACGTGGTCATGTGGGACCAGAGAAACCTTCCAGCTACAGATTTTCTTTAATGCCCATGTTCCTTTTATGAAGTAAATTTGTACTGCCAGGAGCAGATGTTTCTCATTGTCATAAAAAGCCCTAAGTTAACAAAATATTTTTAATGCCATACTCAATAGGCCTTTGAAGTGTTGGGAGACCATTTATCTAACAAAAAAATACCGATTTAACTTAAAAAGTTACCTAATGTGACTACAAGTTTGATTATTATAGATTAATTATTAACCTCATTTCTTATTTATACATTCCATTTTTAAGTGAACTGCATAAGTGCAATACCCCAAACAAGAGTTGAATCATATATACAGTATAAGGAAAATAACTTTACATTTGTAATACTATATCAAAATTCATACTAATGCAAAATATCTGAGATTAACAGTTGTCTTTTTATCCTACATTCCTATATTCCCCTAAATTATAACAAACATCCATAACCCATCAAATAACCAAAAGCTCCTCACACCATTTCTTGAAAATGTGGATGTCATTTTGTCTAGAGTGCTTCCTGATGTCAGTGAACAAAGGCATCTTTAGGGGTTGCTGAGAAAATATGAGTTGATTACGAAGTCCTGGGAGGACCAACTATAACTTTGGATGATAGATATCACCTGTCAAGTTTTAGGAGGTCTCCCTTGATCAAACCTGATCCATATTAACCTGGGACAAATCCATAGCCTCTTGTTTCCTGTGGAAACAAAAGTAAAACCTCCTCTCCAAAGCATTTTTTACTTCCATCAGACAAATACATTTTTGACTTCTTTTTCCTTTTTCTTCTTTATTTTTATGAAGAGATTTTCTATTCATTTTGTGTATCAACCACAGATTCCCCTGTCTTCCCTCCTCCCACCCCCAGCCTTCTCCCCAACCCACTCCCCGTTCCCACCTTCTCCAAGGCAAGGTCTTCCATCAGGAGTCAGAAGAGCCTGGTACATTCAGTTGAGGCAGGTCCAAGCCCCTCCTCCCAGCACAAAGGCTATGCAAAGTTTGACTTCTTTTTTAATGTTAAGATAATCCTAAGGTATCTAGGTTGGTTCAATTTTGCAGTCCTGTTCAATGTTGTAATCTCATGTCTCTTGGAAGCTGTTGTTTGCTTATCAACAATCAAAAAATTCAAAACCAACACATAATACCAAATAGGATCCAGACTCTCTGTGTATTTCCCATCTTTATGTGGCTTTTTTCTTTTCTTTTACTTTTACTATCTCTTTAAAGACTTTACTATTTATTAAAAGTGTTTATTTCTTTCAGTGACTGTCCATACCTGTTTTCTTTTTTTCTTAAGCCTACACCCATTGTAAAGCACAGTGGAACCTGTTTAGAGATTTTTTTCTTTATTTTTTTTCTGTCTGAACCTCTTTTATGCACATTTCTAGTCTTTTTTGACTACGTGAGCCAACTTTTAAACTGTTAAGCTACAGCTGGGTGCTCTGCACTGCTTTAGTAGCTGGCTCTGCCCACCTCTCAGCTTTTAAGAGCCAAGCCTATAGATCACAGCCTGGTCAGAGTTTTATCTGAACAGAAACTGCATTCACCCTTCCTAGAGCTCTAGAATGCTAATGCTTGCACTATGGCAGGCATTTTTTTTTTAAACTTAGCTTGTTGTTCCTACTTAGCTGTGCCAGCTGAATAACAGTGCCTCTTTAAAGAGCTGTGTCCTTTTTCTTTTTTCCATTCTATTTTTAGGTCTCTCAGGCCCTACATGGAAATACAGCCCCATGTGGGATGAAAAATGTAGTTGGTTGTTTTACTGTTTTTACTTTTTTTTGACTCTTTGCTCTTTGGGGATCCACTACCCATCTCCCAAATAAATCACAAGGAGTCTTATTCTTTGTGATGAATGCCCAGCCTTAGCTTGGCTTATTTCTAGCCAGTTTTTTTTTAACTTAAATTATTCCTTCTACCTTTTACCTCTGGGCTTTTACCTTTCTGTATTTCTGTATGTCTTTCTTTCTTACTCCATTGCTGGTTGTGTAGCTGGGTGGCTAGCCCCTAGATTCTTCCACCCCTCTTTTTCTCATTCTTGATCCTCTCTTCCCAGACTTGTCCTTCTATTTATTCTCTCTGCCTGCCCACCTGCCTTTCCTTTCTCCTGCCTTACTATTGGACATTCATCTCTCTATTAGATCAATCAGGTGTTTTAAACAGGCACAGTAACACAGCTTCACAGAGTTAAACAAATGCAACATATCTTTGCATCATTAAACTAATGTTCCACAGATATAACACACCTTCAAGTAATATTCCACAGCAGAGAAGCTTGCTGAGTATGGAGGAAATACAGAACAGGTAGTAGAAAAAGGGAGTTATAAATACCAGGCAAAACGATGTGACCAATTGCAGAAAAGAGGACTATAACGGACATGAGTGCTTCTTTTGTATTTTGTTAAGTATGCATTTGTATGGTT